TATTTCAATGAAGCCTGATAAGGAAGAGAGAGAAAAGAGATGGAGGGGGGACCTAGGCCTACCCTACGATAAACACTTCATGTGCCTATAACTCCAGCACTCAGTCAGACAACCAGGATAGAAGGTGAAGGACGAAAGCGACGCTCGCATTCCAATACCAAGTTGGTCAATGTTTGTAGTTCTGACCAATACAGTCTCTTGGCGCTCCAGGTTAGAGGTCCATCTACCGAGGCGAGTGTTCTCCGCGCTCCCTTCAGGATGGCGAAAACCGCGAGGTGGACAGCACATGACTTGGTAGAAAGGCGTGAAAGAGACCACGAAGAGTTTGGGTGTTGTCGGTGTTTTGCGACTTCCAGGATGGGGTCCCCCGTGACCCAGTCTGTGCTTGGCTGGAGACGTTGCAAGAAATGGCGGCTAATCGGTCAGTGGCGTTCGTGCTGTCAGTTTCTCTCCAGATTGTCTGATTGAGCGGTTGGTGTAGGAACCTCAGTATGCTTGTAATAGGCCAGCACTAGATCCGCTCCTCATCCACTCTTAGACTTTAAAAGCTGACTCACCCTGTCTCAGAAGTGACGTCGCACGGTTGGTAGCAATGCTGATATGACGATGTTTAGCGTGCCAGCCAACACTGATTTTGCTGTCTTTGATGATGATGACCAGGTTAGGGGTAAGGCTCGAAGCCAAATGGGGCGCAAATCGGCAACGTCATTCTAGCCTTGGAGGTTCTTGTGCTGACTTTGTCACACTACGGTCAGATCCGATGCAACTTCCAAGATGTATGGTGTTCCGCAGATTCCAGTGTCACTCATCCCCTGAGACATCTTCAGGCTGTACTTCGCATCAGCGTGTTAGTCGTACGGCCCCATCTGTTTTCTCTTACCCACCCGAGTGCGTATAATACCCACGAGAATCCGATTGGGGGCAATACGAGGCAGCCGATGTAGTGGGAGATCAGTTGCATTTGGGAACACAAACTCAGTTTTTTGGACAAGACGTCTGAGGCGCTCGACTTAAACGTTTGGCTCAAAAGCCCGATTGCATGGCATGAGTGGTTGGAATCAAACGACCTACGAGGCGTCTCACCAGTAATTGGCTCATATAAACACCACTTACTGTGGTCGTTGGCTTGTGATGAAACGTTTGCAATCAAATTGCCCAGCTCAGCGAACAAGCCAACGACCACCATCTACGATACCTGAGCTACCAACATTTTCCTCTATAGAAAACCACTTACTGTGGCTGGCTTCCGTCACAGAAATGCTACAGACGTGACCAGTGTCTTGTAGTCCCGCCTTTTGTGTAAGGGGAAAATAGTGAACATCAACTTGTGCAGTTCGTATGCAAATTCCCGGTGAGACAAATGCACCTGACAACTCGCGCTCTTTATGTGAGGGTTTGCCGGATCACTAGCATTGGGTCCCAAACAGTTGAAGGAATATTTGATAACTGTTTCGACGTGGTTGCTTTTGGCATTCATGCGCATACTTTATATGCAATGCGATCGGAAAGCGGGAAGGAATCTCTAGTGTCGCAACATTCAGGTGAGGGTTGGCTATCGCGGACCAGTGTCACAAGTTCACCAGGTTAGTTTGCGAGTAAGAGCGAGGAACCCGAAGAAAGCAAATATAAATCTAAAGATGGGGTAAATCAACCCGATCGGAATTGCAATGCTTGGTACGTACGAATATTGGTACTCAATTTGCTTTAGTAGGTCCGTAAATGACTAGAGTGAATTTAATAACTGGTTACACTGATAAAGACTTCCTGATTATTTGTAATGAAGAAAACTGACCGTCCTTCACAGAGAATCACCTGTATGACAACAACTGTGGCTTCCTATAGAGGTGGACTAATTTACGATATATATATATATATATA